GTGGGAGGAGAGGGTGGGATGATTTGAGAGAATAGCTTTCAAACATATACATAACCGTATGTAAAATAGATAGCCAGTGGGAGTTTGATGTATGAGGTAGGGCGTCCAAAGCCAGTCTTCTTTGACAACCTGGAGGGGTGGGGTGGGGAGAGAGATGGGGGGTTCAGGAGGGAGGGGACACATGTATATCTATGTTCGATTAATGTTGCTATATGACAAAATCCATCACAATGTTGTAATTATCCTCCAATTAAAATAAATAAAATAATTTTTTTAACAAGCTATATATATATATAAAAATACCACATAGACTGGGGGCCTTAAACAACAGAAATGTATTTCCTTAAATTTCTGGAGGCCAGGAAATTTGAGATCAAGGTCCGGCAGGGTCGGCTTCTGGTGAAGTGCAGACTAATCTGCCTTCTCATGGTGTCCTCACGTGGCCAAGAGAAAGGGACATGCCTTCCACCTGGCGTCTCTAATCCCAGCGTCCCACCACGGGGGCCCCCTTCACTGCCCGATTACCTCCCCAAAGCCTCACCTGCAAGTACCATCACATGGTGAGGCAAGAGGCAGTTAAAGTTTCAACATATGAATTTGGAGTGGAGGACAGTAGGCTTTCCTGGTGGCTCAGATGGTAAAGAATCTGCCTACCATTCAGGAGACCTGGGTTCAATCTCTAGGACAGGAAGATCCCCTGGAGGAGGAAGTGGCTACCCTCTCCAGTATTCTTGCCTGGAAAATTCCATGGACAGAGAAGCCTGGTGGGCTACAGTCCATGGAGTCGCAAAGAGTCGGACACAACCGAGTGACACACACAGAAGCACCATTATCTCTTTTTAATGTGGTCTTCCACCCTGCCTTTAAATATGAAGCTTTTGGACTCCTCTCACAAAATACAGGAAACACACGTGAAACGGGATGATTCCTGGTTAAGAGGAGCACTTGTGTGTCCTGCAAACCCAGGCCAGAGTTCCACTGCCCATGTGGGGCTGCCAGCCCTCCCTCTCCGCTCATCAGCCTTGTACTTCTGGTGCTGAGCTTAGGCTCAACCAGAAGCGCTAGGAGAATGAGAAAGATGAGCACGGAAAGGATGGCCTTCCCCATCTGGTATTCAGAACAACTGAAAGAATTTTCTAAATGAGAATCTTTACAGATCTAAAAGTCTTTAGTTTCAGGACCTCCCTGGCTGTCTGGTGGTTAAGACTCCGCTGAGCTTCCATTGCAGAGGGCACAAGTTTGATCCCTGGTCGGGGAACTAAGATTCCACATGCTGCATAGCATGACCAAAACAAAGAAAGAAAAAAAAAAGGCTTTAGTTTTTAGGGAGAAGCATAGGCAACTATCTGTTGCACTTTAGGGATTCGTTTCTTTCTGATAACTTTTTTTTCTATTCAATAGAGTAGCCGTGGGTGTCTACATTCCCATTTCTACTATACATTTGACATGAAAGGGGATCATCTCATTTTGTGTTGGTTTTCCTTTTGTTAGGAAGGTGATGTGGTCTCACTCAGTCCCTGAGTTTGTGATTTGTGACTTGAAATCTCAGTGGAAGGAAGCGATTGGCAAGGGAGCCCCGCTTCGTGTGAGGGTTGGAGGTGTGTTTCTGCACAGCAGCCTTGGGTGTGGCTGAGAAGGCAGAGCCTAATCAGGCTGCTCTGCGAGGTGGTGAGCTCCCTACTTGAGGGAATAGTCAGTCATTCAGAGGCATCCGTTACACTTATTTGCAATGGACACTGTAGTTCTTCTGGTTCTTGAATTAGCTGAGAGTCAGAAATAAAATGATCTCGGAGACTCTACCCATTTTAAAATGCTAAGTTTCCATGACCCCACACAGCAGACCTACACACACACACACACACACACAGAGGAGAGTGTGAGCCGTGGGAGCTTTGTACAGAGGAAGATTGTTTCCCATCAGTGAAAAGAAAATGGAATGGCTAACTTTTCCTTTTAAAATGTATTTACTTATTTGGCTGCACTGAGTCTTAGTTGTGGCACACAAGATCTTTAGTTGCTACATATGGGATTTAGTTCCCCCACCAGGGGTTGAACCTGGGTCCCCCAGGCATTGGGAGCATGGAGTCTTAGTCTCTGGACCACCAGAGAAGTCCCTGGAGTGAATAACTCTTACCTGCCTTAATTATCAGATTTGCCAACTTCCCTGTGTAACCATATTCCTTGTGTAACCATTATACCTATTTTCATCAGTTTATGCAGAATGTGGATGATTTTTATTTAATATTTACATTATAAAAGCAAACAGAGAAGGAAATGGCAACCCACTCCAGTATTCTTGCCTGGATAATTCCATGGACAGAGGAGCCTGGTGGTCTGCAGTCCATGGGGTCGCAAGAGTTGGACACAACTGAGTGACTAACACAACAAAAGCAATAAAACAGCAAACAAAAGTGATGGGGATAATTACCAAAATTATTATAACTTCTACTGCCTGGAAATGGTCCTTTTCATCTTAATATGACTGTGGTTGATTGTAGTGCATAGATGGTATTGTGTCCTTTTATTTGAAACATTCTTTGGAAGGACTGATGTTGAAGATGAAACTCTAATACTTTGGCCACCTGATGTAAAGAGCTGACTCATTAGAAAAGACCCTGATGCTGGGAAAGATTGAGGGCAGGAGGAGAAGGGGACAGCAGAGGATGAGATGGTTAGATGGCATCACTGACTCAATGGACATGGGTTTGGGTGGACTCCGGCAGTTGGTGATGGACAGGGAGGCCTGGTGTGCTGTGGTTCATGGGGTTGCAAAGAGTCGGACACGACTGAGCGACTGAACTGAACTGATTTGAAACATTAAAGTGTCTTTTTCATGTTACTACATAGTCTTTGGAATTATTATAATAACACTTATTAGATTATCCTATCAGGTGAATATAACACAATGCATATTACTATCCTGGTTGAACATTTATGTGGCTGTCCAGCTTTTCAACATTATAAACAATGCTGGAAATTCCCTGGTGGTCCAGTGGTTAGGATTTCACACTTTCACTGTCGAGGGCTCAGATTTGATCCCTGGTTGGGAAACTAAGATCCTGTAAGCCATGCAACAAGTCCAAAAAAAAAAAAAAACAAAAAAGAGAGAGCTGCAGCAAATCTTTCCCATTATTTTGAATTATTTCTTAGAATTAGAGATGTTTATATTACTCCCACTCATTTCACCTCACCTACCCATTTTCATTTCAAAATTGCTTGGTAACTTTTTCTGGTTTACATCTCTTTTAATACAAAGTTCCTTTTTTTTAAATTTTTTTTTGGCATGTGGTTCACTGTTTGAAAAACATCTGTAATGTGCTTTGCCCATTTGTCTTATGAGATATTAATTTTGTCCTTATTAAGTTTGCAAAATACCTGTGTGACTTGGTTTTTCCAAATAAAGAGGTTAACTTTTTCCTGAACATATGCTTTTCTAGTTTGCCCTTTTTATTTGTACTATGGTTTTACACACAAAACTATCTCATTTTCATAGTGAAATAATTCAATAGTTGTATGGATTTTGTCTGCTGGTTCTAGAATGTTGACCCTGCTCTAGGAAACATTCAGTTTTATTCTTGAGTATTATTGTGATTTTAGCTTTAAAAAAGATATTGGCCATATTTTCCCTTTTTTAAAAAAAAACTAATAATTCCAATGCCTTTCATTGAGAAATCTTCCTTTTTTTCACTTTCTTCTGCTATCTCCTTTATCTTAATAAATTTCTATATACCTCCACACATATAGAAGGAATCTGGGTACTTAATTCCAGTTTATTCCTGTGCCAGTGCTATAATTTTAAGTATTATTGTTATATAATGCTTTAATGTAAGGACTTGTTCCTCCTTTTGGCTATCTTAATTCTCATCTTTTTAAAAAAATATCATTACCAGTTTTATTCTTCAAGAGTAATTTTAGATCCATGTCCTCAACTTTCAAAAACCCTCTTAATTTTTATCTGTACCCACTTGGCAGTAATAATTTATTTACTCAGTCCATACATTAATTGGTGGAGAACTGATTTCTTTACGAGACTGAATCATGAGGTAGATTTTTCCTGTCTCAAAAAGTTCAGGAAGGGCACCTGGAGCCAAGACACAAGGGATGGACAAGCATGGCTGCCCAGGAGGCTGTGACCCCCAAGGGTGGGGAGGTGAGGAGTCTCTCTGAGTGTTCCCAGGTTGGGCCGGGCACACCCACCTGCTGACTTGTCTGCCTCAGGGAGTCCAGGTGAGAGACAGTGACACGTCTGGAGGGGTCAAGAGACCTGGTTTCTGGTCCCGTCCCCCAAGCTCCCCCCCAGCTCTGAAATCCTTCTCATTGCTGCTTCGTGTGGGGTAAAACATGGTGGTGCAGGAAGGTACCCTCTTAACCCATTTTGCACCCAGAGCAGTGCCTGCTGCTCACTCGTGCCCCATTCCTACAGGAAGAGCAGGGAAGGAAGGAATGGCATCGCTCCAGCTTATAGAAGAGTTTAGACCCTGCCTGTGTGTTCAGAGTCCCCTCGCCCAGCCATGAGTGTAAACGAAACCGCCAAGAAGCCTGTTAAGCTGGGGCCCTGAGATCCCAGGTATGGGTGGCTATGATGCCCTTCATCTGCAGAGCACATTCTGAGTAGTGAAATCCTAGAACACTGATCTGGGTGAAACGTCTTGGCTGAAAAAGGAGAGGTAGTGGACAGGAGGTTTGCCTGGAGTCTCAGTCACAATGATGCTTTAAAAGTTTGTGTGTAGACAAGAAATGTGGAAACAAAAGAGTTGGATACATCACAGCAGGGGTCCCCAACCTCTGAGATCTAATGCTTGATGATCCAAATTGGAGCTGATGCAATAATAATGGAAATAAAGAGCAAACAAATATAATGCACTTGAATCATCCTGAAACTATCATCTCCACCCCCTGTCCGTGGAAAAGCTGTCTTTTCAGGAAACCAGTCCTTGGTGCCAAAAGGGTTGAGGACCCCTGCATCATAGGGCTGGTGAGGTTGTGGGTGACTTTCAGTAATGTGTTTGCTGCTCTCAGTGTTTGCAAAGACCGCAGACTCTAAGGACCGCTCCCGGTGCAGGAAAAGCAAAAGCTGTGGTTGGCGACTGGGGGCCGGCCGGGCCACATCACTCGTTGTCCTTCACCTGACTGAGTACACACCCCTGGAGGTAAGGTTGCTCTGTGGTTGGGGGGTTTTCAAAACGTCTTCCAACAGCCTGCCTGAGTTTGCTCTGGTTTAGAACCGTTTGAGGCTGTACCCGCAGCACTGAGGGTGAAGTGTGACCGGCCGCCCACCTCTGGTGCGGACACAGCCTTGATGGATGTAAGAAAACCCCCTAGTTCCCCCATTAGAGTTAACCCGCTCCCCGGCCAGATGACCAGCAATGCCTTCCACCCTACTCCCCTCCCCCGAAAGCCCGCTCAGGAAAATCTCTGAGTTAAAAGTTTGCCTTTCTTACTGGAAGAATTTTTATTAGGCAAAAGCGTTGACAAGTTTGTCATTCCCAGAATCTGCTAACACCCTCCCCCGACTCCCTTCGATTTTTAGTACTTTTCCCCTCCTCATTTCTAAAAGGGGGGAAAACTGTCTCCAACAGGCAGAGAGTTTTATCCAAGGTGTTTGGCAGTGCCTCCGTGAGCCGAGAGAGATTTATGTCTCCTCCGTTCTCTGGCACTGCCTGGTGTGAGCTCACTTAAAACAACCGAATAAATGAGTTCACTTTATCCCGTCAAAATGGAGCCGAGGGCGGCATGGTACCCAGCTGGGGTCCTGGGGGACCCTGAGGCAACGTTCCTGTCTCAGTCGCCTGTGCTGAGCTCAGCTGTTTTTATGTCTGTCTGAGATCATTAAAACGAGGAGGGCAGGGAGCAGAAAGCCCCGTGGAATTGGGGGCAGGACGGGAACCCCACTTGGAGTCTGGAGGCCTCAGCCAAAAGCACGAACCCAGGGGGTTGGCTTAAAAGGCCCTCTCCCCAGCTGGGTTTGGTCTGAGTTCCTTGAAGTGCCCCACTCCCAACAGCCCTCCGCCCCCCAGTGTGGTTTCTTCTTGCAGATAGTCCCAAGAATATTGGGTTTCCTGTCTCATGAAGTCATTTTTTTTTTTTCTTTCCTGCTGCCCTACTACCACTAACAGCAGGCTCATGGAGTCAGGGCCTTGTTGCTCTAAAAAGATGAACGTGGATTCTGCCCTGGGTGGATTTTCTGGGCCAGGCCTGGGTCTTGCCCTCTGACGTGGGTTTGGGCTCAGGAGCCACCAATCAGCTGTGTGATTAACCCGAGGCAGAGTGATTAGGAACAGAACAGCTGCCCCCGAGGGAAGGACTATGGAGCAGAGGGAGGCTGGTCTGCCCATCCCGGAGCGGATGCCCGTGTGGCCCTCCACTCGCCCTAGACTGGGCTTATGGCTCCTTCCAGAGTCCTGAGCTGCAGCCAGAGGGAGGGAGGGCTTTGGCTTCTGTCTTAGGATAAAGAATCAGGACTGTAACAAAGCCTACGATCTTTAAGCTTTTAAAGATGACAGAGTGTGTCTCCTAGACTGTTAGCAGCCTAAAGGTGGGGGTTGTGTCTGCCTCCTTAGGAGGGATGGGAAGGAGAGAGGGAGGGAGTAACTCGATCCTCACTAGTCCTGGGAAACCTGAAGATGTCATTTGACTATCAATAGATCAATGGAAAGGGCTTCCCAAGTGGCTCAGTGGTAAAACAAATCCACCTGCCATTGCAGGATTGAACATGGGTTCAATCCCTGGATCAGGGGAGATCCCCAGGAGAAGGAAATGGCAACCCACACCTATCCCATGGACAGAGGAGCCTGGTGGGCTACAGTGTATGGTCTATGAATTTGCAACGAGTCAGAAAAAACTTAGCGACCAAACACCAAGATCAATGGAAAAGGAGGTATAGTGTATATAAATGAAATGAAATGTATCATTAAACCTTGAGAAAGAAGGAATACCTCTCATTAGTAACAACATGAATGAACCTGGAGAATATTATGTTAAGTAAAATAAACCAGACAGAAAAAGAAATAAGAAAAGATCCCTTTTGATAAATGCAGCAGCTGAGAGGTTGTGGTTTCCATCCTGTAGCAGATCTGGCATTGGATACAGGCCTGTCTGAATCCTTGTTCTTTGCCCTTCCCTGCATCAGTACTGCCCAGACTTCAATCACTCTTTGTTTTCACCTTCTTTGCCAATCTTCACATAACATAGATGTATAAATATATCCTTAAATCAATTTATTTTTACTTAAAAAAATATAACTAGGTAGAACCTACCTGGTGATTCAGTGGTAAAGAATCTGACTGCCAACGCAGGAGACACAGGTTTAATCTCCAATCCAGGAAGATCCCACATGCCTTGGAGCAACAAATCCTGTGTGTCCCAACTATTGACCCTGAGCTCTAGAACCTGGGAGCTGCAACTACTGAACCCACAAGTCTCAACTACTGAAGACCACACACCTTAGAGTCTATGCTCCATGGCAAGAGAAGCTACTGCAATGAGAAGCTGAGCACTGCAACTAGAAAGTAGGGCCTGCTCCCTGAAACTAGAGAAAAAGCCTGTCCAACAACAAAGACCCTGAACAGCCAATAAATAAATAAATAAAAGTTATTAAAAATATAGCTAGTTTGACATGCTGGTTATGTTTTTCTAACATGCATTAAAGTACAAATAACTTTAAGATAACAATCATCATCCATGCATCACCTTACAAGCAGCTCAGAGTGCTCCCATGGTTCCAGAGCTGGGGCTCTCAGTGTGGTCCCCAGGTTGGCAGCATTAGCACCCTCTGAGAACTTCTTAACTCTCAGGTCCTACCACAGACCTCCTGCATCACAGAGTCATGCGGGGGACTCAGCAAGGTCTTTTTTCACACCCTCCAGGTGATTCTGATGCTGCTAAAGCTCAGGAACCATTGCACTGGAGTGTTGGACCCCTCAGGAATGTCCTGGTTGAGTCCCCTTTGCCCCTGTATCCTGGATCCTCATGGTGTCCCCAGGACCATAGAGCATAGGAAAGCCCTGGGTGAAGCACCATATACATGTTAACTCATTAGTTAGGAAAGACAGGAAGTGTGGTATGAAAGAACATCTGCGTCAAGGAAAACACCTTACCTTGAAACTTACACATAAGGATACAAAGAGCCAATGCTGGCTCATTTCCCAGTGACTGCTTGGGTCAGAACTCAGAAGTGATCGGGAACTCCCAGCAAAGCAGCTGGCTCCCCATTGCTTAGAGCATCTCTGTCCAACAGAACTCTGCAGTGATGGAAATGTTGACTAACCACTGTAGGCTGGGAGACAGTTCTCCATGGGTCTTGTATTTCTGCACATTTGAAAGCAAAGGCACTGAATGCCTTTTTTCTGGACACTTTTCAAGGGCATTTATATAGCCAACAGCTTGGGAAGGAAAAGGTAGTGTCTTCCTCCAGAGCAAAGAACTTCGTCTTCCTGCCTGTTGGAAAAGATCCAGGTCTCCTAAACTCAGAATTCTAGTCCTGTATTGTGATCCACTGCATGTCCACATGAGCAGGTATCTCCGACCCTCTTCACAAAGCCCTGTGGGAATTGGAACTCAGGAAACCAGGGAAAGAAAATGCTGATACTCTGACTGCTGATACTACTATAAATAATAAAGTCCTTATCTCAAATCCTGAATTCTCATGTCTTCTGCTGGCATCCACGGAACTGGCAGATTAACTTCCTAGCTTGCCACTAGGGCAAGAGGTGAGAGTCCTTGAATTTCTTGACACATTGTATGACACGTGGCTGTTAAAAGCTGAATGTGTTTCTAGTGTGACTAAGAAACTAAATTTTTAGTTTTAAATTTCTCCTAGTTTTATTAGATATAGTTGACAAATACAACTGTATGTATTTAAAGTATAGAAAGTGATGATTTGGTTCATTGTGAAATGATGGCCACAATCAAGTGAATTAACATATGTTTATGTAACTCATAGTTGGGGCTTCCCAGGTGTCACTAGTGGTAAAGAATCCACCTGCCAATATAGGAGATGCAGGAGACTTGGGTTCAATCTATGGGTCAGGGAGATCCCCTGGAGAAGGAAATGACAGCCTACTTTAGTATTCTTGCCTGGGAAATCTCAAGAACAGAGAGCATAGTGGGCTAAGTCCCATGAGGTTGCAAAGAGTCGGACACAACTGAACATCTGAGCACAGAGTCGCATGAGGCCGGGGGCTACCTTACTGGACCATATTGCTTAGAATGTTCAAGCATCAGCTGGTGTGGCCATTGGTCAAGGATACTATTGATAGAGTTTCTACACTGAGAGTAATTGAGACTTAGGCGGTCTCTAAGTTAAACTCAACATTCCAAACACTAAGATCATGGCATCCAGTCCCATCACTTCATGGCAAATAGATGGGAAAACAATGGAAAGAGTGACAGACTTTATTTTCTTGAGTTCCAAAATTACTGCAGATGGTGACTGCAGCCATGAAATTAAAAGACACTTGCTCCTTGGAAGAAAAGCCGTGACCAACCTAGACAGCATATTAAAAAGCAGAGACATTACTTTGCCAACAAAGGTCTGCCTAGCCAAAGCTATGGTTTTTCCAGTAGCCATGTATGGAAGTGAGAGTTGGACTATAAAGAAAGCTGAGCACCGAAGAATTGATGCTTTTGAACTGTGGTCCAGGAGAAGACTCTTGAGAGTCCCCTGGACTTCAAGGAGATCCAACCAGTCCATCCTAAAAGAAATCAGTCCTGAATTTTCATTGGAAGGACTGATGCTGTAGCTGAAACTCCAATACTTTGGTCACTGATATGAAGAACTGACTCACTAGAAAAGACCCTGATGCTGGGAAAGATTGAAGGCAGGAGGAGAAGGGAACAACAGAGGATGAGATCGTTGGATGGCATCACCGACTCAATGGACATGAGTTTGAGCAAGCTCCAGGAGTTGGTGATGGACAGGGAAGCCTGGTGTGCTGCAGTCCATGGGGTCACAAAGAGTTGGACATGACTGAGCAACTGCATGAACTGACTGATTTTCAGTATTTGAGTTTCCCCAGCTTTGGGAAGAGTTGAACAGTGAAGAGCTATCTTTTCTTTTTTTTTTTTTATTATATCTAGGGGTGTTTCATGGTACAGGTGAGAGATGAAAGGAAAGAGAAACTGGGCTGAGTTTAGAGCCTGGGGATGGGGA